GAAATGGTCATGAAAAATAAACTATTCAGAACACCAAAGAAATTAATAAAATCACACAACCATTTAACAAAAAGAAAGAAGAATGGAAAACATATTAAATTGAAGAAATTCAACACCTAGAAGAGTGGACAAATAGAAAGGTATCTAATATACTATTTGATTCAGGTATTGATAATTGGAATAAGAATATAGCAATAATTTGATCAAAGAATAATAAATAAAGAACATATAATAACTATTATTGAAGATGAAGAAGGAAATAAACTTGGAGGATATGTTAATGTGAAAATTGATAAAGTTAATGATTATATAAATGATCCAAAATCATTTTTATTTTCATTAAAATCAAAAGGAAGAATACAAGGAATGATGAAATTTGATATTAATGATCCACAACATGCTTTTAAATTATTTAATCAATCATATGATTGTTTATTTGAATTTGGATATAGTGATATTAATGTTTATAAAAAAATAATAAAACAAAATCATATTGTAATAACTGTTCATTTAAATATAAAAGGAAAACAGTACTTTCACACTACAACGAATTATTGTAATTGAAATGAAATGATTTTTATTCATTATTGGTTATTTGAAATATAAAAATTAAAAAAAAATATAAAATAAAAATCAATAAATGAAATGAACAGTCAATCATTTCATATATCAATAAATGAAATGATTAATATAAAAATGTTCATATTTCATTCATGTTTTATTTCATTTCATCTAAAATATTCACATTCGATATATTAATTAAATAATAAATAATAAGAAAGAATAAAATTAAAGAATATTATTGAAAAGAGAATCTATAATTAAAATAAATAAGGTTTAAATTTTAACTATTTAATTTGGTAGTTATTATATTCATCAAATCATTGTTTGAAATGTTTATGTTTTAATAATCCTTTAACTGTTCATTATTGTCTATTACCAAATTTTTATTTTAATAATCTGTAATGATTAAATTCGTTATTTTTACATTAGAACAACTCAATTAATCATCGCTATATCTTTACTTAATCTAGTTTTATTTTGTTATTTATTTCTATCTTCTTTATACCAATTCAATACTTCTAATTAATCATTTATTCAATACATTCAACTTCGAAATATGTTATTCCTATTAATACCAATGGTATGTTATTTATCATTTCAAGAATATTAACAATATAAACTGTTTGAATTATTATTTTAATATATTATTTTATTGATTGATGGTTATTCTAGTTATAACAACAACTGTTATTTCTTAGTTTCGTATTGTTTTGTTTGTTAGATACTTTTAATAATGAAATATTATTAAAATAATTGTTTAATGTAAAATGCAAAATATATATCAAATAAAACATAAATGATTAAAATAGCACATATATTACATATCTACCAATTTTAAATTCAAAACAAATATTCATAAAATAATAAAAGTAACTCAGTTTCATAAAGTTCATTTAAATAAACATATTTGTTGATTAATGTTACAAATAAAGAAGGATATAGAAAGATGTTATAACATTTTAGTAAATCCAATGTATTTAAATAGTAAATTATTACTTAGTGCTAAATTTCATTTAAGAATATTTATGTATTATGTTTATATTGTTGTTGAATTATTCTAAATAGCTAATGAAAACAACATAGTTATCAATACTTAAATAATTTGTTGTTTTATAATAAAATAAATGTAAATAGTTAAGTTTTCTTTATTTATTTTAATCATTTTGTTAATAAAAGAGAAACATTAGATTAAACATAAATTATCTTTTATTTAATTCAAAAGATTTTATTATAAAGCAGTTTTCTTTGTTCATTTCCGTTTTAAACATGATTATTCTTCAAAGAAAAACATAGTCATTCCAATTGTTTATTGAGTCTCAGATTCAAGTTCTTTTTCTAATTCTTTTTGATCTGTTTTTGGGAGTTGTGGTATTGATTGGTCAGACAAACTGAAAATAGAAAGAAGTGTTGTTAATACACTTGATAAACTTTGAACTTCTTCATAAATTGTATTTTGATTCTGTTGTAAAGTTATAAATGCTTTTTCTAATGAATTAATTGATTCTTGAAGTGCCTTTAATGTTTTGTTCACCTCAACTTCTTGTGAAGTATATTCATATACTAAATCATCAAATATTATAGGTGTTGTTGTTTGAATTTGTTTCTGAACACTTGAATTTGATAGTTTATCACAATCATCTATTTCTGTTTTTTGTTCCATATCAATAGTTTTATCATCATTAGAACAAGTACTGCTTTTGTTGTTAATTTCTTTTATTACAATTTCTTTATTTTCACTCAATTGTTGTACTTTTTCTTTCTCTTCTTCTTTGTTTTTGTTCATGATTTTTCTTTTTAGAGCATCAATTGCTGAACCTCGTCCTTTACTATTATTCAAATATCTTCTCTCAATAAACAATGTTTTTGAATCTCGTGTTAATGAAGAAGAAAGAGATGGGAGTAATCCTTCAGCTTGCTCAAGAGAACTTGGTGATATTTTAAAGACTTCACTATTATTTTTCATTGGCTTATATTCATTTCCTTTTCTTTGTCGTTTAACTTTTTTTCTTTTGATTGTTTTAATACAAGAGAAATCTGTTGGGTCAAATGATTCATGAACAAAACAATCTTGTCCATTAATAACTTTTTTATGAAAGTCGTATCCATTTAATTGTCTAATAAAACTTTCTTGTTTAACATTTGGAAAGTGTTTTGGTAAAATATAATCAATAAACAATTGTTTGTTATACAAACAGAATCCATGATTCTCCTTATTATATTCAACTATATTTTTTGATTCTTTATCATTTAACATCTCAAATAATTTGACTAGAAATGGAGAGAATTCTTGTGGAAATCCACTGATATGATTATCTTTATTCTCCATGTTTAAACATTCTTAGTTTCTTTCTCAGAATGGATTAGATACCATTATCCAGTACTTGTTTCAATATAAATGTATTTAATTATTTTTTCCTTAAAATAAATCTTTTCGTTTCGTTTAATATAATTTCCATCTTACATCCTTAAGAATCATTTTCATTGACATTATTGTTCAATAAAAATAAGAATGGTATTAAAAAGAAATCATACAAATAATTGAGTCATTGATCAAGAATTAAATTAACTTAAGATAAGTTTGAACTTCTCTATAAGTTCTATCAAAATACTGAAAACGTCTAAATAAATTTAAGTTTTCTTTCAAATCCATTCTATAAGAATTGATTGAAGATTGTATTCTTTGTTCAGTGAAAGTTTCTCCAAATATTAAACATGGGTTCTATAAGAAAATAAATATTTTATAATAATAAATCATTAATTATAAAAGAATAGTACAAACGAATTGAAATATTGGAATAAATTCTTTTAGAAAGAAATAAACACAAGAAGATGCTAATAACTTGAAATCAAACATACTGAATCTTGGAAGAAAAGTAATTAAAATAATCATTAACTCTGCATTTCTTTTAACACAATCACCAACAAATATAGATGAATTATTATATTGAACAAATAATGAACAATATGATACACAAAAATCAATTGGATTTCCAGATTGATGAAGACAAGAAAAATATTTTTTAATTGAATTACAAACACTCTTGATTTCATTTGACGTAAATCTATTATGACAAATTTGAAATAATTGTATAGGAGTTAATGTGATTTTATTTTCAGAAACAACAATGAAACTGCACATCATAATCAAATCTCTTGAAATAGTTAATTTATTAAGTACATTATCAAAAAGTATTATAGCATCTAAAGCAATAATCTTATCTAATTTATATCTCTCAGTAATTGCATATATCCAATTAACTAAATCACATCGTGCTTTAACATCTTCTGGAAGGGGTTTTGGTTGAATACAAATATCTACTATATCCTGAATATCCTTATTAGTTTTTGGTTCTTCTGAAGATTGATGTGGTGTCCCTTTAACTATTTCACTACTCATTAAATATAAATGATTGTACAGATCCTTCTTATCTATGCTTTGTTTCTAATTTAAAAATAGATATTACAAAAATTATAATCTAATGAACAAGATCAAAAAAAAAACATAATCTGTTCAATTATATTTTTATTTTTCGAAGATCAAAAAAATATGAAACAAAGTGATTTGAGTTAATCAAATGAAACTTAAAATTACATGAAAAAGATATTCTGAAAATGGAACAAAAAAAAAAAAGATAATACGTGGCAAATAGAATAAGAAAAATGGGATGATGAAATAAAAAAAGAAAAAGAAGAGTAAAAAGAATGATAAAAGAGCTATAATTAATAATAAAAAATAAAATAAATTAAAAAATAACTTAAAAAAAACAATAGACAATACATTAATTCAACAATGAAACCTAATGTTCCAGCTATTTCTACTATACTTTGTAATGGTATTGTATGTTTCTTGTTTGTATTATAATAAATAAAAAGTATTTTATTTTACAATAAAAGAAATATATTTTAAAAGAATAATTTAAATAATAGTGAAATACTTTCAATTTGATAAGAAAGAAAAATTGTTCACTTTTGTAGTTTCAATGTAAAATGAAATACTTTCAATAAATATAAAATAAAACTAACATATCTTTAGCATACAGAAATTCTTAATAACCCAAAAACTATGGCATTTACTTTTGTTGTTAATCAAGAAAACCAAACTGCAGAAATTATTACTACTAATAAATTTACAACCCTCTTAAATCAAGAATTAATTAAACAATTAACACAAATTGCTACTGCAGCTATAGATGAACCTCAAACAGTAAAAGATGCAGTTGATAAATTTAAAGTATATAAAATTCCTCTCCCTCCAACAATAGAAATGCCATCACAATCATCAAATAAAATGGAAGAATGTGTTAATAGAGAACGTGCATTTACACCATTAAGAAGAATGACTCCAATTACACGTACATCTCCAAGAATGTCTCCAGCAACTCCTGGATATGCTCAACTAGAACCAGAATTATCTGCTAAATTACCTCAACAATCAACTTCTCCAAAGAGAAAAAGAGCTATTACTCCTCACAAATTAAATTTCCATCAAACTATAGAAACTACTATTGATGACTCAACAAAACAAAAACTTATAAGTGTATTGAATAAAACAGGTTCAGAAGAACAACATTAATGTTTTGTCTTGTGTATCTAAGATCTCTTTTTTTTTTATTAATGAATTCTTTTTTATATGGTAATATTTTTTTTTATCTCTTATTTTTTTTTGGTCTTCTTTAAAGAAATACCCATTTTTTTTGAAAAGAATAAATTTAATAATTAACAAATTCTTTTGAAATACTAAAGAGAAAAACAATGAATCTAGAGTGTTTAATAATTCAATCCATTTAAAAGACAGCACGATATGTTACGTATCTTCCTGCAGTTTCACTTTTACGGATAATTTTAACAACATCACCACGTTGAAATCCATAATATTTACTAATTGGATCAGATGTTAATAATCGAGGAAGTTGTGATTCTTTAACTTGATATTTCTTTAATAATTCTTGTTTTTCTTCAGGACTTAAAAGAATATGTTGTGGAACAAGAACATGATGAGTAACATTAACAATTAATTCATCTTCAAGTAATGCTTCCCATTTTACTTCTCTTGGTTGTTCCATCATTTGTTTAACTGGTGATGAAAGTTTTCCTCTATAAACAATAATAGCACGTTTAACATGTTCTGATTCAACTTCTGTTAAATATTTTCCTAAAACATCTGTCTTTAATGAAACTCCTTCTGCAAAAAAAACAATAATACCATCAGTTGCATCATTTTCTTTTACCACTTTTATAGTTAATTCTTTATGACTATTCGTGAGTTATCAATTTTTTAATTTCTTTTAAATCATATCTTCTTTTATCATTTTTATTTAATATTTAAGTGTTTAAATTTTTTTAATTCTTTAAAAAAAAAAAATAAAATAAACAAACTCTACTCCTTCCCCTCCTTTATAAAATCGTTCTTTAAATCCTTCGAGTGTTGTATTATGATCTTCTTCACTTGTAATATATCCTCTATCTCTAAGCATTTCTAATACTGTTTTCCATGCTCTATAGATATGAGTTACGTTCTCCATTTAATTACCCTTTAGTTCTTTTTTTTTTAGTTTTTTTGAAATTTTTAGGGTTTCCTAATTGAAGAAATAGTAAATGTCAATTATGAAAAAGATGATTCAGAATTGTCACTTGTCATTGTTTAGTGATTAAAATGAAAAGATATCACCCCTTAAGAAGAAATTCTTGTTAATAGAAAGAACATCATATGATAATATTATTCATTTTTTTCATATCATTAATTGAAAATGGACATGCATTAGAAAGTGCATTTGAAAGAATATGTGATGGAAAAGCTGATGCAGTATTTTTATGGGTAAATGGAACTTCACCTCATCACTTAGAAGAAATGAGTAAATATGGAAGAACTAAAATAGGTGGATTATACAAAGACTATGGAACAATAAGATTTGGATTAAGATCTATTATTGAATATGCACCATGGATCAATAGAATATTTCTTGTAACTGATGGTGAAATACCTGAATATCTTGATATTGAAAAGGGAAAAGAATCAAACCCACAACTTATTCTTATTTCTCATAGAGATATTATGAATCAATCAATCTTACCAACATTTGACAGTAATGTTATTGAGAGTTATATTCATCATATACCTGGGATTAGTAAATGTATTTTATATTTAAATGATGATATGATACTAGGTAAACCTCTTAAACCAGAATTTTTTATTTCAAAAGATTCAAAATTAAGAGTTTATCATAATGGATTTGTAGCACCAAATATTGAAGGAGAAAAAAGATCAATTTGGCATAGATCAGTTAGTCATACTAATACACTTGTTAATCAAAAATTTAAAAATGGAGAAGTTATTAAACATCCATATCCTGCACATCATTGTTATTTTATGTTAACAAATACATTAAATGAAATGGAAGAAATTTGGATAGAGAATTATACTGAATCAAGAGAAAATAAATTTAGAAAAGCAAATGATATTGTTATTTCATTTCTTCATGCAGCAACAATTGTTGAACAACATAAAGGAGAATATGTTAAACAAAAAAATAATTTTTATTTTAGTTGGTGGGGAGGAAATCATACATTAAATTCTCAAACAATGGATAGAATTGCAACAAAAAATTATTATTGTATTTGTCTTAATGATGCTATTGCAAATGAACCAAACGCTGATCAAGAAATCGATTATTTATATCAAAGGTATTCAGAAATTTTACCTCGTCCTTGTCCATTTGAAAAGTTTTAATAATTTATATAAATTTTATTTTCTTATGAATAAATCAATAGTATCTTTAATAGATTTAATAGAAATAATAAGACAGAAATTAAAAAGTTATCTTTCATAAATTTTAATTTTTCTACTTTTGTTTTTACTTTTTATTTCTTTATTTTAAAAAGAAACTATCAATTTTATTTTCTTTTTATGCAAGATATTCCTAATAGAGAATCACCAATATTTAATGAAATAGATAGTACACCAGAAGAAATAGGAGATTATCATTTAAAATTATGTTTTTGTCCTTTTTGTCAATCTGGAATTAAATCTATGGGGTTAGATAAAAAAGATAATAAAAAAGTTATTTCATGGCAATTATTATGTCGTTCAATTTTGTATTCTCTTTCTATTGTTAATGCTCCTCGTGTTTATTTCTCACTAAAGAAAGATATTTATTGGTGGATTGTTGATCACTGGTATTGTTTTGGTTCATTACAACAATGTTTGCTTTTATTTTTATTCATTTTTAAGTTTCTCATTAATTTAGTTAAAACATCTCCCTCAAAGTGGAAAAAGTCATTATTGGATGCTCTAAGTCATTCATCATTTTTTGAGTCTGGAACAATCACACTTAAAAAGACAGGAATGTGGAAGTTGAGTCATATCATTGCTCCTTGGGAGGACGATAAACTTTCATCAACTTCTCTTTTTCATTCTATTTCAATTCCTCAACAATCACACTTACTGTTATCTCTAGGACCTTTAAACGACGTTCATGAACCCAAAGAAACAACACAAAAAGATTTGGGTTTCAAAGTATTAATAGAAAATACAAACATAAACACTCAAAATAAAATTAACACTTCCTCACAAGAAAAAACTACAAAAAGTGGAAAAGAAAATAAAAATATTATTCGTTCTCATTGCATTGAAGCAATCAAAAAATATCAAATAGCTTATGATGAACTTGAAAATGAAATGAAAGGAAATACACTTGATGATGTTACAATAAAACAATTAAATGAAATTAAAGAAGTAACAAAAATGTCTGTATCATTATTAAATATGTTAGATTCTAGACAAGAAGAACAAAGTTCTATATTGATTACCAAGGTATTAGACAAAAAATAATAATAAACAAAACAAAAGTATTGATGTTTTTATACAAATAGAAAAAGATGAACTTGAAATCTACAAATGGAAAATAAGAATAATAATCACGAAGTGATTGACCTCACTTCTGATGATCTTGAAGAAAATGTTCTAGTCAATCAAAGAGAAATTAAAGAGAAATTAAAGAAACCAAAAATTTTTAGGTTGAGTCTTAATAAAAGAGAACAACATCTACAAAAAGAAACACGACAATTTTATCCAAAAGTAACGAGTATGTCTAAACAAAATAAAAGTGAAAGTTTCACTTATCAAAATGAAGTGACTAAAAAATGTGAAGGAATTGAATGTCCAATTTGTCTTCAATTAACACGAAATGTAATGACAACACAATGTGGTCATTTATTTTGTAAAGCATGTTTGGCTATAGTTTTTACATCAAGCGATAAAACGCCACTCTGTCCTATTTGTCATTCACAAATCAGTCCAATCACATCACACAGAATCTATCTCTAATAAATTAACTATAATTAACTATAACAAAACTAATTATATTGTTTTTAAAGAAAAACAAAAAAATAAAAAGGGTTAAAAAAAGAATTAGAAAAGAATTTCAATAATTATGTCAAGAAGAGAAGAAATTGAAAAAGCAATTAATGAGCTTATTGGACAACCAAAAGAATTTGGAGAGGAAGAAATTGACAAGGCAAAGATTGAAAATGATGAAGAGCTCAAAATGAAGGAATCATTAACAGTTGGTAAGATTAAAGCAGCACAAGGGATCAAAGAGGACAAAAAATGGGAAGGGAAAGTCGTTAATAAAGAAGACGCATTCAATAATTTTTCTAAATCAAATGAAGAAAGTGAAGAAGGTAATTCAATGAGTGAAGAAATGAAAGAAAGTTCTGAAGAAAATGAAAGTAATGAAGAAAATTATTCAATGAGTGAAGAAGAAGAAAATGATGAAAGTAATGATGAAGAAGGAGAAGAAAATAATGAAAGTAATAAAGAAGAAAGTGAAGAAGATGAGGCTGATAAATTAATTCAACAAACATTAAATGTTGAAACTATACAAAAGAAAACAAATGATGTTGAAAAAGAAGATGTTTCTAACCAAATTAAATTATTTGATACTGCACTAGATATTAGAGTTAAGATGCAAGGAATTCTTGGAGATGTTAATAGTTTACCATTAAGTGAAGATATTAAAATGTTACGAGAAAATAATGAAAGATTTAATGAAGAATTAGAACATTTAAATAGAACATTTAAAGATCTTTTCCATAGAACAACAGAGTTATGTGAAACGATAGACAAACAATGGGGAGTTCAATGGGAATATAAATCAACAGATAGTGATGAAGAGAAATTAGTTAAGGTAAATAAAAAGAAAGATGAACAACGACTTAGTGTCATGGAAAAATGGCATTCAAAAACAACAATGATGAATATATCAAAATTCTCTACTACTCAAAATGGTATTGTTCAACAAGTCAATGCCATTCTTAAAGACCAAGAAAGGTTGTTTAGAAGAAGTCAACAATTAAGAGGAACTAAAATTTATTTAAATGAAGACCTTACTTCTTCTTCAGAAGTATTTGATGATGGAGATTTTTATCAACAACTCATTAAAGATGCAGTTGATTATGGTATAACTGGAAAAGGTCAACCTATGATGAATAACACAAAAAAACAAATACAAAAGAAAAAGAAAAGAGTTAACACAGATATCGTATTCCCTAAATTAGAAAACTTTAAATGTCCTGTAGAATATAATGAAAAATTAATGGAAGTTGATCGAAGTATTTTTATTAAGAATTTATTCAAATAACACAGATTGATAATTTAATATTTGATTGATTCTTTTTTGTGTTATTTATCTTTTTTGTTGTTTTTTTTTAAATAATGAATTTTTTCGTTATATATTACATAAACTGAAGTTTCATTCATAAAAAAGATAAGTTTTATTGATGAAAATAATTTAAAAATAGAATTACTAATTTAAGAACAAAAGAAAAAAGAAAAAAAAGTTCAAGAGAACTGTTTTAACACTTCGATTTGACATGGAAGAGAACCAACGGTCTAAAGACCAACAACGAATTATCACATTGCTATTAAACGAACAATTTGAGTTAAGGTCCAGCGTAATAAATTCAGAGATACTTGAAGAGGATGATTTAATTACTGACTCACTTACAAAAGGAGAACAAATTGTCAGTCGGATGGATAAAACTATTGGTTCAATTGCTTCTTTATTCAGTGGAGCACACACCACCATAGATGAGTTAAATAATAAATTAGAAGAAGCAACTAACAATAAAGTAGATAACACTATTGATTCATTAAAGAAAGATAAAATGTTATTACAAAATGCTATTGACTCAATCAACCAAGTTGGTGATATGTTAAAATTGGATAATGGAATACAAGAAAGAATTGGTAATGTAAGTACATTTGATGAATGTGTTAATTTACTTCAAGACTGTATTAAAATTTATCAATTTATGAATGATAGAAAAGAGTATCAATTTTATAGTACTCATGAAACAGATACAAAGAGTCATTTACAAATAGTTTATGATAAAACACTAGTATTTTATAATGACTTATTTGTTGAGATTAGTAAACCAGAAAGTGTTTCACAAATCTTATCAAAAGAGTCATACATTGAAACAGAGTATCTTCAAATGTTAAAGAAAGCTATGCCAATAATATTTGAAGCTGGGACATTGTTAAGAGCTAATGCCCATGATGTTTTTGCTGTAATATTTGAAAATAGAAAAGAATATTTGTTAGAAGTTATTCAAAAGATTACTTTACCATTATTAACTGAAAGTGATGAAATTGTAGAATATACAGTGGGATATACTAATGGTAAAAATGCATTTATTACTACAATGAAGCATGTTCTTTCTTTATTTCAAAACGAACGTATTTTTCAACAAGACATTCTTCAAAATGATTTTGATAAATTCTTTGTTGGAACTACTGACGAACCATTCACTGCTTTTATTGATTTATACACATCATTTGCTTCAACATTACAAACACTGGATACTCCATTTATTGTTTTCCCATTACTTGATATACTCGAAGTTTATGAAAATATGAAAGCTGATTTCACTAATGCACTTAAAATAAATGAAGATCCAAAGAATAAATCAAAAGGATTTATTGCATTAGAAAAAGGATTTAATGTTCTAACGTCATCATTTACATTTGGTAGTGATAAAAAAGAAGAAGAAGAGGAAGACGATTTATATGTTGAAGATACAACAGGAGATAAAAGAGACTCTCAGACTAAAAGAGTAGATGCATTATTTGATACAATGTATACAAATGTTAAAACATTATTAATTAAATTTAGAGATGAAGTACTTATAGATTCTACATTAAATAAAATATTCTCATGGACAGAGAGTAGTATTCCAGTAGATGGAACTGTATCTCAACTTGCAGCTGATACAATGCATTACCTTTCTAAATTAGAGAAATATCTTCCACAACTATCTAGTTATATTAGTAGAATGTATAGAGAAGAAAATAAACAAAATAGTAATGGAACAGAAGATGAAGGATATGTGGGAATGTTTGTTGATGTATGTATTCAAAACTTGTGTCAAATGATAGAGGCAAGAGCAGCAAAAGAAAAGTCAAGATTAGGAAAAATATTTAAAATAAATAATTACGCATTTATTATGAATGTATGTATGTTAGATGGATTTGAAAAATTATTTGGAACAAGTCTACAAAAGAAAATAGAAAGTGATTTTTCAACAAAAAAAGAAAATGCTATTCATGATTATAAAGACTCTCTTCAACCAATTTATGAAACTTTAAATGCTAGACCTAGTAAAAGTGAACAAATTAAAAAAGCTTTTACTTCATTTAATAAAGATTTCCAAGCACTTCATACAGTATCTAGTGGATATTCAGTTTATAATGACCAATTAAAAGAAGAGTTAAGAAGTGTATTAAAAGAACAAATATCAGAACCATACACTCTTTTCTATAACAACTATGAAAAAGTTAAATTTACTCAAAATCCTACTAAATACTTCCTTTATACTCCTCAAATGGTTGAACAATGTATTCAATTAATGTTTGAAGCTAAAACGGATGTTAATGGTGAATCAAAAGAACTTACTGATTATATTCCTGATTTCCTACAAAATGTACCTCATTTTGTTCCTAAAATGTCTACTATTACTTCTTTAGCTACTCCTTTACAAAATCTTCCACAACATTTAAAAAATCTATCTCATAAACCTGTGGATATTGTTAAAGAAACTCCAAAAGTAATTAAAAACCCACTTAAGAGTACTAAGAAGTTTATTAAGAATATGAATCCATTCTAAATGAATTTTTTTTCTTTTTGTTTTAAGAACCATTTAGATTGATTATTTGTTTTCATATGCACTTAATTCAGTAGAAAGTTGTCTTGAGAAAGAATGAATTAAATGTGATTCTTTATCAAAAATAACACCTTTTTGAATAAAATAATTTTGTTGTTCATTTGTTAGTTGAATAGACTCTAAAGAATATGTTTTATGTTCTTCAGCCATTCTTTTAACAATTAAAAAATATTTTTCAAATTGACTCTGTTCAATGTACATCATTGAAACAGATTTAGATTTAGAACCACTTGAACTAATAGACCTAATCGAAACTGTTTCATTTTGATATCGTATATTAAATGATTTGCATAATTTAGCAATATAACTATAATCAAATGAGTAAGAAAGTGTAGTTTCTTTTATTTGATCACAATATCCTTCAATTACATCAAGGAACATATCCATTACTAAAGAATTAATAGTATAACAAGTGATATGACTATCACCTAATTGATATTTTCCTTTCATCATCTCAGGATTTTGAGCTACAACACAATACCTTCTCATCTCTCTTTCAATGAAAGAATTGTATTTCCTCAATACAAATGTTAAACAAGGTTGTATTGGTATCTCAAAAGAATGTTGTGTTTTAAAGTCCTCAAATAAAATAAAATCATTTATTGCAAATGAATGAAATTGTTCATTATTAAATGTGTAATTAATTTTTAATGGCTTTACATTTAAAGAATTAATGTATTGTATAACATCTTCTTTACTATATTCCATTTCTTGTTGAAAAATAATTCTTTTATTTTGTTGATCAATAACAAATTGAACATGAAATTTGTTTTCGAGATAAAGAGGAAGTAAGTAATTATAAAATGAGTTATCTGCATTATTTATATTAACTAACTCAATACTTTCAACATAAGGAATACTATGTTCAATAAACGATTCAATACGATGTAATTCACTTGGTTTAAGTTTATGATCAGGAACAATAAATAAAATGTCATCTTCTATTTGGATATTACTTGAACATAATGTTGTCATTGTCTCTTTGTAATACTTCAATCTTATTTCATCAACCACAACTGGAAAATATGTTTGTGCCTCTTTTGGAATAACCTGAATATTTCTATAAATTTCATTAGGGACTTCTTCTTCATTTCCCCAAATAAGTTGAGTAACTGCTTTCATCATCAGATTACTTTTATGAAAAACTTCAATAATTTTTCTTAAAAATAATAAAAAGGAAAAACAAAAATTTAGTTAAAAACCCTAAAAAAAAAAAAGAAAAGAATTTAAAAAGTTAGTTCTTGGTTCATGAGTGCAAATGATCCATTATGGAAAGTTAATGATTTTAAACCAGAGGATAACCCTAATGGATTATTAGAAGAGAGTAGTTTTTCTATTTTATTTCCAAAATATCGAGAGGCATATTTAAAAGGGATGTGGTATGTCATAAATAAAGCACTAGATGAGGTTTGTTTAAAAGGAGAACTTGATTTGGTTAAAGGTATTATGACAGTTAAAACAACTCGTAAAACATGGGACCCATTCATCATTATTAAAGCACGTGATATGTTAAAGTTATTGTCAAGAGGAGTTCCAGCACAAGAAGCAGTAAAAGTTCTTCAAGATCAATACTGGTGTGACATCATTAAAATTGGTAATATGATTAAAAACAAAGAACGATTTGTTAAAAGAAGACAACGTTTAGTTGGTCCTAATGGAGCTACTCAAAAAGCTATTGAAATATTAACTGGATGTTTTATTTTAATTCAAGGTAAAACAGTAAGTGTAATTGGTTCACCTTCTGGTATTAAAATGGTTAGAAAAATAGTAGAAGATTGTATGGACAATATTCATCCGATTTATAATATCAAAGCATTGATGATTAAAAAAGAATTAATGAAAAACGAAAATATGAAAAACGAAGATTGGTCTCGTTATATTCCTCAATATTCAAAGAAACAAAACACTAAACCTGAAAAATTAAAAGAAATTAAGAAAAAGAAAAAAGAATTAAAAAAGAAAATTATCGAAAAGAAGAAAAATTATTCTCCTTTTCCTCCTGAACGAGATGATTGATTGATTTTTATCATTTTATTTTTATATTAGATTCTATTTTTGTTATTAATTTATATCATTATTTACACTTTCTTTATTAACCGATTTTACTTCTTCTTTTTATTACTTATTTTCTTATTAAAATTATTAGGACTCTTTTTTTATTATTTTACAAATTAATGCGTTTCATTATGAAATATTATAGCTGTATCTGATAAGGTTGATAACCATAAAATTTTTTAGTTTTTCTTTCTTAAAAATTTTTTTCAGTTACTATTAAAGTAAGTCTTCATTTAATTTAAAATAATTCTTCTCCTTTTATTCTTCATATATCATAATAAAATACAATTAACGATTTAACTTAGTAAATGGTTATGTTCATTACATATAAAACACTTTACTGTTGAAAATGATAAAAATCTTATTGTATCTGTTATTTTTTATAAATACATCAAATAATGATTTAGAACTCATTCTTCTTTTTTTTTTGTTTTAATGAATATTTACGTTATATAAAACAAATAAATCTTAAAAGAACAAAACTAGAAAATTGAAAAGCTTTTGTTGAAATGAGTCAATTATCACCTCCTCTTGTTCTTGTTAAAAGTGAACAAATTCCAAGAACACAGAACCAAAGAATGAAAAATTGGAAATGCACATTTCCTGAATGTGAAGAAACGCCCAAAACAAGATACAATTGTTATGCACATATTTGGGATGCACATTTACGGACAGAACTTAGTAAACCTGGAAAGAATCCAAAGAATTTATTATTAACAACGTTTAAGTTATCTCCTCAAAAAGATGATATTAAAAGAATGTGTGAGGATTATATGATTAAGTTGATAGATAAATATCCACCAACAAAAATTAAAAGAAATCAAATAATAAATAATAATGGTGGTGATAATGATGGGAAATCACAATATCCATTTGCATTTGATCCTAATTCAAAATCATTTGATAATGAAATTCATACTAATTCATCATCAAATAGTGTTATTAATAATGAAAATACACCGAGTCGATCAATAGAAAGTGTTCCAATATCATCTTCTGGACCATCTGTTGGAATTGATACATCTGTTGGAATTGAAATGCAAGCAATAAAACAAGACATAGGTATAAATGAAATGCCACAAATTGTTCAAATTCCATCAAGGGGAGATTACCAAATAACAGCAGAAGATTTCATTAAGATTGAAAAGATTAATGAAAATCTCCGACAATTACATGTACTTGGAGAAATATTTGCAGAAAATGGATTTTTAGTACGGTCAGATGCACGAAGTAAAACTGATATTGAAGAAATACATAATTCTCTTAATGGAATTTTATCTCTAGTAGGAGTATCTTATTCTTATAAAAAAGATTGTGATAATAAAAAATATGGATTTATTGCACAAGAAGTACAAAAGATTTATCCAGAATTAGTAAAAGAAGATGATACAGGAAAATTAACAGTAGATTATTTAGGAATTATTCCTCTTCTTGTTGAAGCATTAAAAGAAATACATAATAATGCACAAGGATTAAGAGAAATAGAAGAAATTAATGGAGTATCAAATAGAGTTGAATATGCAATTACACATTTAGAAAAAATAATATTTGAAATGAATTGTAATAATCCACAACGAGAAGAAAAATCAAAATTTAATCAATGGAAAATACGTATGATACATATATTTGGACCAATATCATTTTTAATATTTAGTTGTTTATTTAGTTCTATTATTACTATAATTATTCCAATTATCTTTCCATCAATGTATTTTTTAATGGGATTAACAGTAATATTATGTATTATATTATGGATTTTTGTATTTATTAATAAAACAGAAGCAATGAATTTCTTAACAGCTAAAAAAGCATTTTTTCCAATAAGAAATAATATTAATTTTAAATGGAGATTATCTCAATACGTTACATGGTATATTATTTTTTCATTATTAATATCAATGTTAATGTTATCTATTATCATTGGATATCATGTAATAATTATTGTTATTTGTTATATTATTGGTGTTATAATATCATTAATAATATGTTATTTTATTAATAAAACATCATATAGATTTGGATTTCCATATCAATATTCATTTATTGTTTTATTAATATTTCAAGCTATTTGTATTGCAGCTATGATTCTTTGTACTGTATATCAACCATTTTATGAAGGAAAAAAATTTGGAAATAATTCTCAATATATAATTCATCTTTCAGATAATGTAGAAGTAAATCATGTAATGATGCCTCAAATATCATGGAATTGTTTTTCACCAAAAATAATTACTGAACCTTATTTACCAAATGGATTATCATTTGATATTTCACAGAAATTATTTAGTTTATCACATCCTTTTCTTATAGGAATTCCACAAGGTGATATTGTTGATTCAGTAGTTAAAGTTAGTCTTCAATGTAATGGTATTGTACTTCTTGATTATCCAACATTAACATTCAAAACATGTGCAAAAAATACTGATCCAGGATTATGTAGTATTAATTCATGTGGTTATTGTCGTTCATCAACATTAAGTTTTTGTGGGATATGTGGTGATTATTTTACAAAGCAATGTCAATCAGTTGCTGGTTTTTCTAATTGTTAATTTCTGTTTGTTTAGAAAAATGTTTTATATTTCAATTTTGTAAAATTTAAAAACCCTCAAAAAAAAAAAAAAGAAAATAAAAAAAGAAATGATATTATAATTTTAAAGATTAAATGAATATCATAAGATTTAAGATAAATGAAAAAGTATTATGTCATAAACATGAAGACCCTGAAGGATCATATAGAGAAGCAAGAATTCTTGATACAAGAGAAAATAATGGAAATACAGAATATTATATTAGATATACAGAATATAATAAACGATTAGATGAATGGACAACAACAAATAATATTATACGATATTCATCAAAAGAAAATATTATTAGACCTACAACAAAAGAAGATGGAATTGGTCAACGTAAAATGACAAGATCATTACGTCAATCAAATGTTTCAATGTTAGAAAAAGATAGTGAAATTAATGATAAAATAGGAACACAAGAAAATGAAATATTTCAAAGAACAAAAAATATTCAAAATGTTACTATTGGAGATTATGATTTAAATGTATGGTATTTTTCACCATATCCTGGAGAATATGGACATGTAGAAAGATTATATATTTGTGAACATTGTCTTAAATATATGTCTAAAGCAAATACTTATATTAAACATAGAGAACATTGTCCATATCATTTTCCACCAGGATTATTAATTTATAAAGATGATAAAAAACATTTAGCATTTTTTGAAGTTGATGGAGCAGAAGCAAAAATGTTTTGTCAATCACTTTGTTTATTAAGTAAAATGTTTTTAGATCATAAAACATTATATTATGATGTAGAACCATTTTATTTCTATATTCTTTGTGAATTTAATTATAATGAACAATGGAAAAGTGATGATTATCATATTGTTGGTTATTTTTCAAAAGAAAAAGCTAGTCCTGATGGTTATAATTTAAGTTGTTTAATGGTATTACCACATTATCAAAGAAAAGGATATGGTAAAATGCTTATTTCAATGAGTTATGAATTAAGTAAAATTGAAGGAATTCCAGGTAGTCCAGAAAAACCATTAAGTGATTTAGGATTAGTTAGTTTTAAAAGTTATTGGTCAGGAGTAATTGCAGAAGAATTATTAAATTCAACTGAGATTCCTTCTATTGAAGACCTTACTTTAAAAACAGGAATAACAAAAGAAGATTGTGTTAGTACTTTAGATACTTTAGGTTGTATTTCTCCATATCGAGGATCACAAATTATTTCAATTAACCAAAATACAATGGAAAAATTACGTAAAAAATCTTTAGAGAATAAGGTTTTAGTAAAAAAAGAATTACTTCATTGGAAACCACATTCAGTAGTAGTAAAATATCCTAATGTTATGCAAACACTTAGGACATATTGTTAATTCAATTAAGAAAAAGGATATTTGTTAATATTTTTAATAATATTTTTATCATTTAAAAAAAATAAAATAAAATAAAATAAAATAAAAAAAAATAAAAAAAAAAAGAATTCCTTTTATAAAAAAACCCTTGATGACTGAAACAAGTAGCCACATCCCGAAGAAAGTTGACACAAAAGTAATTATTAAAAGAAGTACTATTGATCAAATTATGTCAGAAAGAAAGAAAAGAAAACAAATGAAAGAACAAATGAAAAGAATTCAAAAGAAAAATAAAAAAATTCATATTAAATTAAGTCTTGAACATATTGTTGCTATTAAAAAGAAACAACTTAATGAAACAGCACGTAGTAATTTTCTTTCTAAAGTAATGGCTAAACGACCACCACGAGGATTTACTGAACCAGTTGCTGTTATGTTAGTTAGAAGTTCAATAACAGCAACTAAAGAAATTAAAGAAATATTAAATGGATTTGGATTAAGACAACCTATGGAAACTAGAATTATTGTTGGAACACCAGAAAATATGACAAAATTAAAAATAGTTAATTTATATATTACTTATGGTCCTATTCATTCAGAAACTATTAGAGAATTAATTATTAAACGAGGTAGAATTCAAATTGGGGATCAAGAACCTATTGCTATTACAAGTAATAATATTGTTAAAGAAGCTTTCTCAGGTAAAGTTGATAATATTGAATGTATTGAAGATCTTGTTAATGAAATTACACAAGGTAAACATTTTGATGAAATTTTTAATATATTATCTCCATTTATATTTTCTAGTGAAAAATTTAGAAATTATAGATTTAATAAACTTGGAGGAGTAACAGGATTACGTGTTACTGGAATGGATGAATGGTTATTACAACGTATTTGATTGATTTTTACTATTTTCTTTGTAAAAGTTTATTTTAAATAATTATTAAATATTTTCTAAAGTAATAATATAGAAATTTTTTTAAATAAATATTTTAATAATAAATTTAATTATATAGATTTAATAATTGTTTTTCTGAAGCAGAAATAAATTCAATTGAGTTAAGATTAATACATGAAAGTGGAAGAGATGGATATTGAAGAAATTCACATAATCTAAAATAAAATTTCCTTAAATGAGTTGTTTTTGATAAAATTAATTGTTTTAATAATTTACATTTACAGAGACTTATAATTTGAATAGATGTTGGAAGAGATAAAATTTCTATTCCATTTACATTATAAAATAATAATTTATTCAAATGAAGAGAGTTAAGAAAAAGATTTGAAGATAATACACAAGAATCACAACGAAGATAATTTAAAGAATGTGGAAGATATTCTAAGTCTTGATATTGACATAGATTTTTTAAATATAAAGTTTTTAAAGGACAATATTTAATTGTTTTATTAATTTGAGTATTATTAAGTGAGAGTGAAGTAAGTGTTGTAGGATATTTTGAGAGTGGTAATATATTAACATGAATAAGTTTCATATTTAATATATTAAATGATTTAAATTCTATATAATTACTATTTTCTATAATTATTTGTGATGTAGATTTTGGAAGTATTATTTCTTCATCAAATATACAATTTACAAAATGAATTTGTTTAAGAGAATTAAATTTTAAATAATTAGGATGAATATTTGTTGAAATTTTAAGATTATTTAATTGAAAACAATTTTCTAATGATAAAATATTTGGTATTATTGATGATATTGTTTGATATTGTATATTAATTGAATTAGGTATTTTTATTGATGATAGAGGGTTATATGATTGAATAGAAAAATTAGGTTCTATTTGAGAATTTGTTCTAGATGAAGAAATAATTTTATCTTCAGAATCTTCAGTATATTCTATTGTTTGTGAATTTTTAATAATAATATTTTTTATAGAATCATCAGAAATGAATATACCATCAAAAGAAAGAATATCTTTATTTTCAATAAACCAATTTGATTTTTTAATACTAATAAATCCATTTTTACTAATAATAAATTTTGATTTCATAGAAATTTCATTATAAATAAGTCGTTTACATAATGGTAATAATATATTTTCTTTATTTTCAATATTACATGAAAATAATTTTAATTCAGTAAGTGTAGATGGAAATTTAATTTCATTACAATTAATAGAATGTATTTCTAATGATTTTAATTCTGTTAAACAAGTTAAATCATAGATATTATATTTTGTTTGTAAAATTGAAGATTTTGATAATATTAATTTAAAAGCATAATATTTTTTGATAATAGATTGAATTATATTAATATTAGTTGTATTTGGTAACCATAATTCTTTTAATCTAATAATATTATCATTTTGAATATTATTTTGACCTTCTACTGAAATAATAAATTTGTATGCATTAAAGAGAATTAAATCTTTATCTTTCATATAATTTGCTTGATCAAATATAAATATAGTTTGTTGAGGATATTTTAATAAAGATTTAGTTATTAATGTTATTTCTGGATAATGACAACGAACTAACATCCATTTTAATTGTTTATTTATTTGTTTTAAACGAATAAAATTACATTCATTTGAGAAATAACAATCAATTTTTGTTAGAGAAGTGAGTTGAGTAAATTGATTATTCCATTCTGATCGTTCAATAGAGATAATTCTATTTTGAATTGAATTAAATAGAGTATATTGTTTTTTATTGGTTAACCTCATACCAATAATTTTAAAAGAAAGATTTAAGAAACTAAGTGAAGGAAGTGAACAAAGTAATTGAAAAGAACAATAAATTGTTTTTAATCTTGGAAAAGTTAATTGATTTAATTTTAATTCAGATCGATAATAATCATATTTTTCATTATTAATATCAATTTGATTTTCTAATAATCCATGTTTAGATGAAGTTTCAATCATTTTTCTGATTTCTTTACTAACTTGTTTTAATAATATTATATCTTTTATATTTAAATATGGTATTACATAAAATAAACCTTCTTTTAATTTGTTTCTATTTTGATTAATAGAAAAATTAAATTGATATTTATGTTTATGAATTAATGTACATGAACGATAAGGAGAAAACATTTTAATCACTTGGTTTTTTAGTTTTGCTTTTCAGTTTTCATTTGAAATTCTATTAAAAAAGTAATATAATACAAAAAAATAAAGAATATTCAATTTATTTTTGATTGTAATGATTTAATTGTTTTTTGTAAAGAAAATATTCCAAATTCTATTCTTGTAGTATTACGTTCTAATCCTCCATCAATGTCTAATTCTATTTTTTCATTTCCTGATGTGATATTACAAATTTTATTTGCTTTTTTTAATTGTTCTTTGTCTTCATGAGTTAATCCATTTAATATTAATGATCTCACATTGAGAAGATTTGATAAAATTTGATTGAGTTTATTAATATAATCTGTTATTTTAAATGGAATTATTGGATACTTCGAAATAAAATGAATAAAACTTACTACATCTACAAGTTCATCAATAATTCCAATAACTCCAAATTTATCTAAAGACATATATTCATTATTATTTAATAATTTATTAATAATCCCATCAATTTCAGAAAATACTAATGATGGATTGTTAAAACAAGGTAATTTTGGATTATTAAATGAAAATGATATAAATAATCGAATAATATGAAGAATATAACTCCATAAATGACGATATTTAATAGTGTCAAATACTTTTATAATTAAATTTTTAATTGATTCTGAATTATGAGAAAGAATATAAAGTTGGAATAATTGAGCTGCTTGTCTTTGTTGTAAAATATCATTAGTTTGGATAGATGTGATTGAATTGTGTAAAATAGAAATAACATCAATATCTAAAGTATTTTGGTTATAATTCATAAGATATTGTAAAATGATAATTGAATGTTGAGAAAATAAATTACAATGTTTAATTGCATCTTCAATCATATGATATATTTTTGAAGTATTGAGAATAAGTGGAATAGGTAATTCAAATCCTATATATGTAAGTAATTGTTGAAAATTAAATGAAAGAATAATATTTGGTAGGTTAGTACAATTAATACAAAATGTTTTGATTTTAGTTATTAAAGAATTATTTAATATTTGATTTTTAATAAGAAGTAATATAATGTATAATGTTTCTTTAGATGGTTGAAGAATTTTAATAAAAGATTCAGTAATATTTTGAATTATCTTTTCATTCTTTTTTTCATTTGTTTCATTAATAAGATTCATGATTTGTTCAATATTTTTATAAGTATCTTTTAATGATTTTTCTAATCTTTGTTTAGGAATTCTTTCAAGAATAGAAGGAAGATAAGTGAGTGAATGAAGTAATGTATTAATATTATCTGTATAATTAATTAATGATGTGTGAATAAGAAATAAATCTCTTGGAGAAGCATTAATATAAATTGAATCAAGAAATGGTGAAACACTTGTTTTTATTGATGTACAACATAACGAATGTAATACAACAAGTATTTCTGCATTATATACAACAATATCAAGTAATTTATCAATATTTTGTACAAGAAAAATAAATAATTTTTCTAATTCTTTATCAGTTAAATTTAATTCATTTGTAAAAAGATAATTTAATGAATCTTCTATTTTATTTTGATCATTTAATTTAATTGCATTTCTAACTTTTAATATTGATTCATGTTGATTTGAGAGAGTGTTTAATTGCATTTAAGAAGAAATGAAAACAAAAAAAAGATAAAAAAAAACTAAAAAATTTAGAAAAAAAAATATATATATATAAAAGATGTCAAGTTCAGACCTTAGCTATGATATTGTTCATTCACTTCCTTCACGTGCTTATAGTTCTTCATATAGTTCAGATAAATTATTAGGAAGATCAAGACATAAACCATTACCATCTGAATATATTTCAATGTTTACAGGATTTTTTGTTGTTGAATTTGATTTAGAAGATGGAGAAGTAATTATTTTTAAACAACTTAGTAATGAACTTAATAATGGAGTAGAAAAAGAACTTGTTAGAGTTTTAATGGGATGTGATTATTCTGCAGATACAAATGTTTCAATTGATCCAAAAAATCCACCAAAAGAACGTCAAAATTTAATTTTAACACATTCTATTATGAATTTTCATTGTATCGTTTGTTTAATATATTTTAATAAAAATATAAAATAATTATTATTAACAAATTATAGTCTGTTCATTTTTCAGTATTTAATCCAAGTAATAAAAGAGGATATGTATCTACAATTTGTATTTCAATACTTCAATCTAGACAATTTTCTTGTCAACAAGCAAAATTTGTAAAAGAAGAATTACAAAAATGTTCAAAACAATTACAAGAAATATCATATTCATATTGGAATGGTACAACACAAATATTTGAATCACCATTAACATTTAGTGAATTAATTAATATAGCATTACAATCTCAAAATGGATTAAATACAATATTAACATCAACATCAAAAATAGTATTAAATTCACATATCAATACTTCTTATGATTCATATTTTAGTAATATTACTTCTCCATCAACAGTACTTACTTTAGGTAATTTTGCATTATGTAATTCTAGTTTTAATAAACCTATTCCTCATGATTTTCCATTTCCACCAATTTTTCCTTTATATCAACCATCATTACGTTCTCAAATTTCAGCAAAATATTCATTTAATGATATTATTGAAACTATGCCAAAACTTCTTCCTCATTTAATATTAACAATATTATCTGGTTGTAGAATTACTATTTTTCAATCAATACCAATTCTTAATACATTTAAATTAAAAGAAATAGCTGATTTTTTAACTTCACTTTGTATTGGAGGAGTATCTTGTGCTCATTATTCACCTATTTTAAATGATGATAAATCATTTAATGGACAAATTCTAGTAACAACATCAAATACATTTACTGGAAATGATGCAGCATTAGATTTATCAAAAGGATTTAAAGGTTTATTTTATGAAGGAAAAGGATTATTAGATAATTTTATTTCATATACTAAAGAAGGTGGTCAATTTCTTGAAGAAAGATATTGGAATATAGTATTAGATTATTGGGGACTTACTGTACGTTGTTTAGCTGGAGAAAGTATTCCAACTAGTCAAGACAAATATGTTATTCAAAATTTTATTCGTCGAGTAGAAATAGAAAGAGAAGCAAATAAAACAGGAAGAATAGTACCTAAAATTCCAATTTTTTCACCTACTTTATTTAAATTTATTCCAAAGTGAAAGATTTTATTTTAACAAATAAATTGATTTTTGTAAGTTTTATTATTTTTATTAAAATTTTTTTTTCTTTTTTTCTTTTTTTTTTTTTTTAGAGAACTTAAAATTTAAAATTTTTATTTATTTATTTTTAATTAAAAGAAATCAAAATATGAATAAAGAAACATTTTATAAGATTATAAAACAGATTAGAAATGAAGATCAAATTTATCAATTGATTTTTGGAAAAGATATTTGTTTTGATGAAATTAAAGAAAAATGTAATTCTCTTATTCAAGAAGAAGGATGTAGAAATAATGGAAATTCTAATTCAAGACATTTATTATATAGATGTAAAACATGTGAAAAAACAACATCAAGTTGTATTTGTTGTCAATGTTTTGATAAAACAAAACATCAAGGACATAATTATTATCCATATTTATCTATGTCACAATATACATGTGATTGTGGAAATGAACTATATTGGAAAAAAGAAGGATTTTGTAATAAACATCAAGATAAATTTAATGGAAATATTAAAGAAATTATTCCAAAAGAAATAAATTATTGTTTAAAATCACTTCCTATATTATTTCAATATTCAATATCATTTCTAATTGAAAAAGATAATAATGGAGAATTATCTATGATATTTAAAGTATTATGTCAAATTGATAAAATTCCTTATTTTCATAAATTATTTATTTCTTTATTAAATGAAAAATATTTATTTCCATTAGATTCATTACTTTATAATAAATATAATTATCATTCATTAACATTATTTCAAAGATATTTTGAATTATCTTTTGTATATCAACAACTTCCTAATTCTATTCTTAACTTTCTTATTTTATTTCTTACTAATATATATGAAATAAATTTTGATTATACTTCAATTTATGATTTAGCTATTGCATCAATTTATTTTGATTATTCACCTAATAATGGATTAGAATATATATTTTCTGGTTTTATTTATGATAAATCAATTATTGAATATTCTCTTTTTAAATCAGGAAGATTTCTTCAGATAATGGATGTTTTTATTAATACAATTACAAATTATTCTAATGGAATAATTAATGATAATATTTTAAAAAATATTGAATTATTACTTGATTATATTATTGGATCATTAAATAATGGAATTAAATATCAATGTTCATCAGAAGAATTCATTAAAGTATTAGAACTTATTTGTTGTTGTTCAAATCTTTTTCCATTTTATATAAAAACAGGAGAACATGAAGAAAATGATCCAAATCATTTTGAATATGTTTTTCCTCTTTTATCTTCAATATTATTATGTTTTAGTTTAATAGATATCTTTGATATTAATGATTTTTATTTTAATAATTTTAATTTAATTCATCAAAAATTTATGAATCATATTAAATCATATTTAAATAATGTTCCTTTTATTAATATTAATGGTACTAAAATTCATTTAAGAAAAGTTGGAATTAATCAACAAGTATCACCATTATCTGGAATTAATTATTTTTATTCATTAATTCTTCAAAAATTAATTAATAAAAATCAATTAGATAAAATTTCAATTCCTAATGAAGATGCAATATTATTATGTGAAACATCATTTATTTCATTACAATTTATTCATCAATTTTCAAATAATATTTATATTAGAAATAATATTGATGTTGAATATCATTATACATTTTATATTGATCTTTTTTTACCTCATATGTTAAATGGAGATTTAAATATTTCTAAATTAATGTTAAAATATATTACTATAGAACAATTCATTTATACATTATTAATTATGTTTAATGTAATAGAATCAACAAATGAAAATATTGATTTGAATATTTCTCAATTTAATATAAATAATTTTAGTATATTATTAAATGTTTTAATTCAAATAAATAGAACTTCATTAATTGAAAAAGTATTTAATGATGAATATTTCATTAAAAATATTATAGCACATATAATAATAGCAGGAGAATCAAATCCAACAAAAATATCTGAATTTATTCCTTTTTGTGAATTAAATATTAATCAATTTTATAATGAATTAATTATTAAAAAAGGTGTTTTAAAAGAAAAATGGTTAAATAGAATAAATCCATTATATCCTTTTTTACAAACTGAACTTCAAGAACAATTAAAATTAAATACATTATTTGGTGATAAATCATTAAAAAATAATAGATATTATTTTGAAGGATTAACTTGGAATAAAGATTTGTTTAATTTTATTACTTCGTCTCTTTTCTGGAATATTATTAAAAAAGGATTATCTAATGAAAATATTACATTTATTCTTATGTTAATTACTGATATTAATTCTGAAATACAAAATGGAATTTGTTCTATAGAAGATATTAAATATCTTGGTATATTTAATGATGAAAATATTACTTTCATTACAAAATTATTAAAAAATAATTATACTCAAATTAAAGATTTTGAAATATTTATTAAAGGAATAAATAATCTAAGTGTAAGAAATTTATTAAAATTTGAGTCTTATATTGTTATTCCAACATCAGTAAAAACTAATAATATAACTAAAGCAAATTTATTAAAAAAGAAAGTATTAAAAAAAATGAATGAAAAACAAACTACATTTACATTAAATGAACATCTTATTGAAGAATCATTATTAGAAAATCAAAATGAAGATTTTTGTGTTATTTGTCAATCAATTAAACAAAATCCATTAGGAAGATTTATTTATTATGATCCTGGATATGCTTTATTAATTCAAAGAAAAAAAGAAGGTGGAAAAAATAATTCAGAGTATGTATTTACAACTTGTCAACATCATATTCATGAAGAATGTTTTATGAAATTATTTAATCAATATACACAATGTCCAATATGTAAAAGTAAATTTAAATTATTTTTACCATTAAGTAATCAAATTTCAATTATTAATGAAAATACATTTAATGAAAAATATAATTTAATAAAAATTGCATTTAATAATAATAATAATAAAATATTTAATGTATTATTATCTTGTTTAATTTCAACATTAGAATCATTAGAATTAACTCATTTTGAAAAAATTGATATTCATGAAGATGAATTTGATATTATAAAATCATTATTTATTGCATTAAAATCATTAACAATCAAATCAAAATGTTATTTAGATGATTTCATTAAATATTCTAATGTAAATTCACCACTTTATCTTTATATTATTTTAAGACTTTATAACCAAGATATTCAATTAGCATATATTCAAAATGTTAATAATATTATGAGTATTATTGCTAAAATAAAACCATCATTATTATCTCAAAAACAAATTAAATTTATTAAACCTAGAATAAATAATATGAATATTATTGGATTATCTGATTGTATTAATTGTGAAGATGCTGTCAATAAACTTTCTATTTCATTTGAACATTGTATTCAATTAATAGAATCAATACTCAAAAGTATTCCAATTATTGATGAAGTACCATTATTGAAAACAATAAATTATATTAATTATGCAACTGGAAATGAACATTATACATTCATACCAACTATTCCACAACATATTTCATTTATTGATTTACCAATAACTTTTGAAGGAGTATTAAAAAAGTATTGTTATAGTAAATGTGATAGTTGTGATTCTTTTATTTCAGATGTTCTTTTATCAAGAATATGTCTTTATTGTGGAAGAGTTATTTGTACTAAAAGAAAATGTTTAGAATATCATTCACATCAATGTTCATGTGGATTTAATGTTATGTTAGATTTGTATAGTGGAGCATTTTGTTTAAATTATCGTGGTAAGACAAATGGTGTTATTGTATATGAAGATGAATATGGAGATTATTTTGATCCTAAAAAACTCCTAATCCCAAAACTTTCGTTAAATCCACTAAAAGTTAAATTGTTTGTTCTATTTTATTTTTATTATTCATCTGTTGATTATTCATATCTTTAGATTTACTAAACTCTACTTTAAAAACACAATCTTTTCTGATGGAATAACAATTAAATTAAAGTAAAAAACTAGTTATGTTGTTTATTTTGTTATTATTTTCATTCATTTTCTATATTATTAATTATCAAATGCTCTTATTGAGACTATTTTTTAATATTTATATTTCTAAATCTTAAGAGTACATCCAATAAAGTGACTTTACTAGTGTTTTAAAGTAATGTCATATAGATATTTAATATCAATTTATCAACAATTGGTTAATTATTAATTTCAATTAAAAAAAAAAAAAACATCTCATTCTAAATAATTTAAATACTTTAATTGTATTCTTTAAATGTCTCAAGAAATTATTAAAACTGTGGTATTCAGAGTTCATTATACAACATCCATATTATGAAATTTATCTTCTTATATTTCATATTTCTGACCTTATTTCTGTGATAATACCAATTATCTCACTATGATAAATTTAAATAATTTATAAAGTACTTTATTGTATTTATTATATTAATAAATAACCATTAAATCATCTAACACTATTGTCACCAATTATATTTATAAACAACACAAATTTCAATGAAATAAACACTACATGAAAATTAAAATGTGATGTTTAGTATATTCTTTCAAATAAAAATACATCAATAATTGTTGGTTATTGAGTTAGTTAAGTACTAAATGATAAAGTTGGTACATTTAATTAATTTAATAAAAAAAAAACAATTAATTAAGTATTAATAGTATTTGCTTTTATTGTTTATTCATTTGGAAGATTATTCAGATCATATTAATATTTCTAATAACTCTACAATGTATGATTGATTGTAGTAGAGTCAATGTTCAATGACATCTATCATATATTTAATTACAAGATTTTTAACTTCTTTTATGTTATCAATTTTTAATTCTTTTATTAATCTCATCTTTCTAGATTTACTAGTATATTTATTGAGATTAATACTCCAAATTATTTTAACATCTCTTATTTACTTTGTTCTATTTTTTATTTCTTTATACATATTTCTTTTCTTTAAATACAATCCATTAATATTGTGGTCAATAATAAAAGTCATATCAAATAATAGACCAGTTTTAT